CTAAAACAATGCAAATGTTTAAAAACATAATATGAGAATTTCCAAAACCTCTTTCCAAAACATACAGTTTCTATTTCCAAAGTCAATTCCATTCTCCATGATACGAATGATTTCAATTTGCCTAATTCACATGCAATTTCTAACACACAGCAATACTATCCTCTACCGATAGGCAAAACAGTTATCTCTAATGCAATAATTAAAAGATATCAATATAGATATATTTTTCAAAAGTGTAACAGCACTCATTTTCAAAATCCCACAACCATTTCCTTTCCATCTTTTTCCAACCAAACCATTTACCAAAATCAATCCAACTCCAACTCCAACTCCCAAAACAATATCATTTATGGTTTTTCTACAAATCAGATTTTTTTTCTCTTTTAGAAAATCAAATGCAAGTTTGTTTACCAAAAATAGATTTAATAACAAAATCATAACCAAACAACCCCAATTTGTACAAACCCTTAACCCACAATAACATTTCAAGATCAACCAAATGCCTAACAAATATAAATAACAAGATACGTCACAAATATGCTACCGAACTCATATTGAGTTTAGGAAACAGACCCTACCTGTAACAACCCCGACCCATGATTAACGTTAATCCATGCTTAACTATGCCTAACAAGTAATTAAGAAAAAGTTCTGAGTTAATTACATGTGCATTGTATTATTTGTGTTTATATTTGTTTAACGTAAGAAGATATGTTCATGTTTTGTTTCGATTTGTGAATTGAAGGCCTTATCGGCATCCAATTCATAAATTGACTTGATTTTTGAGTTAATTAGAATTTTTAGAATTTTAGGATAGGTTTAATTGAAATTCAATTCAGAACGATTAAATTAGATTAATTTAATGCCCACTTGATTAACTTTAATTAATTACCACCAAGTGAGCCTATATAAGACTCCATACATGCTCCACTCATCTCTTTCTTTCATTTTCAACACATTTTTTAGTTTACTCACACACACAAGCGTGAGAGAGAGTGAGAGGAAGGTAGACTTGAAATCAACCAAAGTGGGACTTGCTTGAGAATTGAAGAGAACTAGGGAGGATTAGCTTGATTACTCAAGAATTGGTCTATTGAAGCTCAATTGAGAAGTTTAGGTGAGAATTCAAGCTTTTGATAATATAATTAAGTTAGCCAACTCATAAATTTAAAAGAAATCCTATAGGAACGCAAGAATTAAGCTTAGATAGTTGATTTTGGGAGTATATCATGCATGCATGCATAATTCTAATAATTTGATAAGTTCATTTTCAAGAATCTCCACATGCATGTCTATACTTGGGTTTTGTTCAAGGAACTCAACATGTCTTTGACCCAAACATCTCATTTGCTCATGATTTGGAAACTTGAAGCTCAAATCACTTCATGCATGTCATATTCATGTCATGTTTTCACAATTCAAGTTTGAATTTTGCTCAATCGTCAAGCTTATCGACCTTGATTTCTTGAAATGACCTTTAATTCTCAATGTTTTCCAAGTTTAGACAAGTTTCCTCAAGTTTTTGGTCCAAATGATGAGTTTTCAAGTGTTGAAATCAAGATTTGCAGCTTAAAAGTAATTCTGAAAATTTCAGAATTATGCTCCTACGCTCGATCATAGGAATCCAAGCTCAAGCGACCACTCTGAGAGTGTGTACTTCCGCTTGAGCGACCAGAAGTCTGCTCAAGCATGAAATGCAAGCTTCCAAAAGTTCTTATGTTTTGCAGCACGCTTGAGCAACAAAAGTTGCGCTCAAGTGAGGGCATGTCTCTCATGCTCGAGCGAGTGTTGAGCGGAAAAAATCAAGCAACCAGCATTTTTGCAAAAGTTTACAGATCGCTTGAGCGACAGATCTTGCGCTCGAGTGACCACTCACATTTTACATGTCCGCTCGAGCGTAGGAAGTCACACTTTTGCGAGGACCATGTTTTCAATACTTTTTGTTAAGTGTTTTCAAGTGCATTTTTGCATCCTCTTTCCATCCTAGGCATTCCTAGGCCATGATTAAGACACCATGATGAGGATAAAGAAGTAGAAACACGCCAAGACAAAAAAGAACTAAGTTAATGATTCCGGGTGTGTAATTCAGTATATATTCGTTCTGTGTTTGTGTAGGTCACATGCCACAAGATATCTGAATTGCCTACTCTGTTCGTTACTTGGAGCCATCTGTTAGTTGTGAGTAATAACTTAGTAAAGCTATGTTCAAGTTAAATTATTTTTTGTATATGGAATAAGATTTGTTTTATGAAATGCCATGTTTTATACTATGAATGAATATCCAACTCTAACAAATGTTTGTGGTATTATGATATGATCCAAGTCTGGTATCTGTACCCAGACCGGAGGTTCCTTATGGAATTGACAAGTTATATGTACCCGGCTGGAGGTTCCCTTATGGAACTGACAAGTTATCCATTTCCAGTCCGGAAGTTCCTTTATGGAACTGACAAGTTATCCGTACCCAGCTGGAGGTTTCTCTATGGAACTGACAAGTATAATCTATGATGCTCTATATATGATTTGTTAGTGCTAACGGATAAGCCATGTATGATCAAGCATAAATTTTGAATTCTGTATATGATTTGAATAAGAATACGAATGTAAGCTAGCTTAGTCATGGGACATCAGTCATTTAACCCTTTACTCTGTTATTATTCACTAGGCTCCCGCTCACTATTTAAATTATGTATGTAGGTGATTAGACACATGACCAAGCTTAGAGGTGAGGACCTGGTGTCTCAATTTTTGTCAGCCAACCTTTGCGCCTCCCGAGGAGTTTCCAAATTAAGTCAAGTCTAGTGGCTATGTTGTTATGAATGTATGAGACTTTGTTTCCTTTGCTCTATAAACAAGTTTCTCTGTATTTATGTACATGAAGTGATGTGTAAATACTATATCTTTTGATATCACTCATATGTTTGTAAAAGTTTATGATTATCTATCCCATGTACATCTTCACAACTCGATGGACTATGTATATTTTATGTATTTGCTTTTTATGAAATGCCATGTTTTATACTATGAATGAATGTCCAACTCTAACAAATGTTTGTGGTATTATGATATGATCCAAGTATGGTATCTGTACCCGAACCGGAGGTTCCTTATGGAATTGACAAGTTATATGTACCCGGCTGGAGGTTCCCTTATGGAACTGACAAGTTATCCATTTCCAGTCCGGAGGTTCGTTTATGGAACTGACAAGTTATCCGTACCCAACCGGAGGTTTCTCTATGGAACTGACAAGTATAATCTATGATGCTCTATATATGATCTGTTAGTGCTAACGGATAAGCCATGTATGATCAAGCATAAATTTTGAATTCTGTATATGATTTGAATAAGAATACGAATGTAAACTAGCTTAGTCATGGGACATCAGTCATTTAACCCTTTCTCTGTTATTATTCACTAGGCTCCCGCTCACTATTTAAATTATGTATGTAGGTGATTAGACACATGACCAAGCTTAGAGGTGAGGACCTGGTGTCTCAATTTTTGTCAGCCAACCTTTGCGCCTCCCGAGGAGTTTCCAAATTAAGTCAAGTCTAGTGGCTATGTTGTTATGAATGTATGAGACTTTGTTTCCTTTGCTCTATAAACAAGTTTCTCTGTATTTATGTACATGAAGTGATGTGTAAATACTATATCTTTTGATATCACTCATATGTTTGTAAAAGTTTATGATTATCTATCCCATGTACATCTTCACAACTCGATGGACTATGTATATTTTATGTATTTGCTTCCGCAGCCCCTAATTGTACATTATTATGTTAAGAGGCCTTTGGTAATCCAAGGATTACTGGCCGGTTATGACGCTAAACCTATAGGGGTGGATTGGGTCATGACAGAGTGGTATCAAAGCACATGTTCTACCACACACACGAGTCCATACGAGCTTAGGATGTCCTAGTAAGAAGTAGGGGCATTCCATTTACATGTGTGAATGTGTGTTTTTGAAAGTGAAAGCATAAATCTAATTATGATCACATGATATGGAAACAAATAATCTGAATAACGTAAAAAGAACTATTTGCCTATGTTTATGATGTTCTATTTACCGATTGCAAATGAAAAATACAAGAAGTGATAGAACAGTTGAGTCATCTGAGGCACAAATGAGCCGTATAGAACAAATGCTTGCAGCTTTAACTGAGGCAATGACTCAACAACAACAGAGGCAACAACCCTTACCTCCCCCACCAGTCCAGGTTGAGCCGGATAGCAATGATCTCATAAATATAACTAAATAGCTCCTGAAAATGAAACCGACGACCTTGTTGGGTGGCATTGAACCATTAAAAGAATAAACACAGTTACTTGAAATGGAGAAACTATTTGAAGTATTCCCTTGTTCTGAGATTCAAAAAGTCCTTCTGGCCACTTACACTCTGAAAGATGAAGCCCGGAGGTGATGGTTACTAATCCCAAACAATAATGGGAATATGACGTGGGCACAATTTAATGCGATCTTCTATGATAAGTATTTCCCTCAATGTTTTCAGGATCGAAAAGTTTCTAAATTCCAAGAACTTAAACAAGGCAGGATGTTCGTAGCCGAGTATGAGGCCAAATTTACTGAGTTGGCTCGATTTGCCCCACATATGGTGGATACTGATTACAAGAAGGCACAAAAATTAGAAGGCAGTCTGGATCTGGAAGTGTTTGACCGAGTAGGCGACTTGAAATTGCCTACCTATGTGGAAGTTTTAGACAAAGCGATAATGACGGAAGCCACAATAGCAGCAATGAAACAAGCCAAGGCACCAACAACATAATGGAGAAGCAAAAGATTTGGGTCTAATTTTCGGAAGGGTCATTCCTTCTTCGCAAACGAAGAGCAAAACACTAGATCTTCAAGCAGCTTAAGCCAAAGTAATGGGTCTATGCCAATCTGTTCAGAATGTGGAAGGAAACATAAAGGCATGTGTCATCGTGCATCAGGTGCGTGTTTTCCCTGTGGCAAAACCGGTCACATAATTAAGGACTATCCAATGAGGTTTGACAATGCAAATTATGCAGCAGCAGCAAGTTCAGCCGGATCTACTCCTGTAACGAGGCCCAAAGCAAGAACTAATGCCAGGAATAACACTGGGAATGAAACACTAAGGCAAGGGAGAGTGTTTGCTCTAGTACCTGGGGAAGTACATAATACTAAGCTAGTAGTGTCAGGAATAATTTCTATCTGTGCACAGAATGCCTATGTATTGATTGATTCTGGTTCTACGCATTCATTTGTATCGCATGCTTTTTCTCGGAAGTTGGCTAGATCATTAGAACCTATGAATTGCATACTATCTATGTCTACACTATTAGGAAGTTCTACGATGTGCACCCATGTATATCCTGTATGTGATGTTTTGATTGGTGATATGACATTGTACGTTGATTTGCTGCCTTTGAGCATTGACCACTTTGATTGTATATTGGGCATAGATTGGTTATTGAAATACTGTGCCACTATTGATTGTGTGAATAAAACTGTCACGTTTAAACCACTTGGTATACCTGAGTTTGTTTTCACTGGGAATGGGTAGTTCCTCCACCCTACTTGATTTCATTCATGAAAGCCAGAAAGTTGTTGAGAAAAGGTTGTCGAGGTTACTTGTGCAGTGTAATGCCTATATCTTTGGATAGTACCAGTGTGGAAGCTATTCCTGTGGTTTGTGAATTTCCTGATGTGTTTCCTAATGACCTACCCGGAAACCTAATTGATAGGGAAATTGAGTTTACCATTGATATAATACTTGGAACACAACCTATTTCTAAAACTCCGTATTGGATGTCGACTTTTGAAATGAAAGAATTAAAAGTTCAACTCCAAGAACTCCTAGACAAGAAATTCATCCATCCGAGTACCTCACATTGGGAAGCCTCAGTGTTATTTGTTAAAGAGAAAGACGGATCTTTGAGACTATGTATTCATTACCATGAGTTGAATAAAATAACCATAAAGAACAAATATCCATTACCCCGTATAGATGACCTGTTTGACCAACTTTAGGGTGCCCAAGTGTTTTCTAAGGTTGACCTTAGATCTGGGTATCACTAGTTAAAGGTCAAGGCCGAAGACATAGAGAAGACTGCATTCAGAACTAGATATGCGCACTATGAATTTTTGGTAATGCCATTTGAGGTAACTAATGCACCTGCAGTATTCATGGATTTAATGAATAGGGTGTTCAAACAATTTTTGGATGAATTTATTGTTGTCTTTATTGATGATATATTGATTTGCTCCAAAAGTAGAGAAGAACATGAGAATCATTTGAGAATTGCCTTATAGATTCTAAAAGAAAAGAAATTGTATGCAAAATTGTCCAAATGTGAATTTTGGCTTGACAGTGTAGCCTTTTTGGGGCATGTAATCAACAAGGATGGTATCTCTGTTGACCCACAAAAAATTAAAGCCATTGTGGACTGGCCTAAACCGACAAATGTATTAGAAGTTAGAAGTTTTCTGGGACTTGCAGGCTATTATCGCAGATTTGTGAAAGACTTTTCAAAACTTGCTATGCTATTGACTCTGTTAACCCAGAAAAATGTATCATTTGATTGGAATGATCAAAGGGTGTCTGCCTTTCAAGAGTTGAAGACCAGATTAGTAACTGCACCAATTTTGATTTTGCTTAATGGTATTGATGGGTTTCAGATTTACAGTGATGCATCCTATAAAGGCTTGGGTTGTGTATTAATGTAAAATAGAAAGGTAATTGCTTATGTTTCTCGGAAACTCCGACCCCATGAAAAGAATTACCCAACTCATGAACTTGAACTGGCAGCTGTGGCTTTTACTTTAAAGATTTGGCATTATTATTTGTTTGGTATGACTTGTGAAGTATACACTGACTATAAAAGTCTTAAATATTTCTTCACCCAAAAAGAATTGAACATGAGACAGAGGAGATGGTTAGAGTTAATCAAAGACTATGATTTACAGATTTTGTATCATTTGGGGAAAGCCAATATGGTCGCAGATGCTTTGAGCCGAAAGTCCATTGTCAGTTTGTCATGTTTGCTCACCAGACAGAAAGAATTGCTATGCAATTTGGAAAAGAATGAGATTGAAGTTGTATTACGAGAACAAGGTGGGACCGTAGCTGCTATCTCTTCCCAGCCTGCAATCATCGAAGAAATTAAAGAGAAACAACTGCAAGATGAGTTCCTAAAAAAGATTGTGAATGAAATTGACTCAAAACCAAGGCCTGGGTTTGTATTTGAAAACAATGTGTTGAAATTTCAAAGTCGTCTTTGTGTGCCGGATTATTCTGATTTAAGGAAACGAATCATGACAAAAGCTCACAATTCCAAATTTTCCATGCATCGAGGAAACACCAAAATGTATCATGGTTTGAAACAGAATTTCTGGTGGCCTGGAATGAAAAAGAGCATTGCAGATTTTGTAGCCCGATGTTTGTATTGCCAACAAGTCAAAGCTGAACATCAATGACCCATTGGTTTATTACAGTCACTTCCAATACCAGAATGGAAATGAGAGCACATTACCATAGACTTTATCGTAGGATTGCCTCACTCTTCTCGAGGTATGGATTCTATTTGGGCTATTATTAATCGTTTAACTAAATCTGCTCATTTTCTGCCTTTCAAATCTTTGTATAATGTGAATAAGTTGGTTAATTTAAATGTCAATGAGATTGTGAAATTATATGGAGTTCCAGTATCCACAGTCTCTGACAGAGACCCCAAGTTTGCTTTGAGATTCTGGCAGAGTTTGCAACAAGCTTTGGGGACTGAATTGAGATTAAGCAGTGCTCATCACCCACATACAGATGGCCAATCAGAACGGACCATTCAAACATTGAAGGACTTGTCACGGATGTGTGTGTTAGACTTTCAAGGCAATTGGGAGACTTATCTTCCTTTGGCCGAGTTTGTATACAATAACAGCTATCACTCAAGTATTGGTATGGCCCCATATGAAGCTTTATATGATAGGAAATTTCGTTCTCCAATCTGTTGAGTCGAGGTAGGTAACAGACCTTTATTGAGACCGGAACTGGTAGAAGAAGCAACTGAACATGTGAAATTGATTCGACAAAGACTGAAAACTGCACAAAGCCGCTAGAAGAGCTATGCCAATGTCCGAAGAAGAAACAGGAAATATGAAGTTGGGGACCACGTATTTATAAAAGTGACTCCAATGAAAGGCCAGACACGGTTTGGTGTGAAAGACAAATTGACTCCTAGATATGTTGGACCCTATGAAATCCTTGAAAAGATGAATTTAGTAACGTGTCGGGTATCTTTACCACCAGTCATGGAACATCTGCACAATGTATTTCATATCTCTATGCTTCGGGATTATTTGAGAGATCCATTACATGGGATTGAGCGACTCATGTACTTCTAAAAGATGATTATACATTTCCTTCGGGTTCAACTTCATTTGGTACCTACGCAAGGTCTGTAAGGTCTCACAGAGATTTGATAGTTGATCTGAAGCTAGCTTGCTTTTAATGAGCATGTCATCCACGTAGACCTCAACATTCCAGCCAATTTGGCCTTTGAACATGGCGTTGACCAATCGCTGGTAGGTGGGCCCTACGTTATTTAAGCCGAATGGCATCACGAGGTAGTGGTAAGTTCCCCTATCTGTAATGAAAGATATATGTTCTTGGTCGGCTGCGTGCATTAGGATCTAATTATAGCCTGAAAACACGTCCATGAAACTAAGCATTTGGTGGCCCACTGTCACATCGACCAAAAGATCTATCCTGGTGTCACAACCCAAACCCGCCCCTATAGGTTTAGCGCCATAACCGGCTAGTAATCCGTGATTACCAAAGGCCTTCTTAACAATAATGACAATAACCCCGTAATATGGGGTTGACAGAAGCCAATCAATAATACAAAATACCGTCCAATGAGTTGTGGAGACTTAAATGAACAAAACAAATTTCACAAACTTGGAATTATACAAACACTTAAGTCCATAACACATATGTGCTCATAACAAAACATAAGCTAGGGAATTAAATGCCATTGCCAAAAACAGTTAACAAAACTCAATAAACATTCTTATCTCATAAACACAATGTCAAAAGGGTGAATTTGAATCACCCTATAAACCCTGACATGCAATGGTTCGGAACCTCACAGTGAGGCACAGTAGTTAGCTTGACAAAAATAGGGTTCGGGTCAACGCCATTAACTCTAATCTGGTGCCGATCACCTACATATATATAATAAACAATGAGCTAGAGCCCAGTGAATAACGAATGTGTAAAGGGGTTAAGAATGAATGTCCTTTCAGTATCTAAAATAGTCAATTGCATCAGTAAATCATTTAATTGATCAATATCTCATATTCCATATCATATCTATCACATAGGAATCATAGCAGTCATACGTGGTACATCCAATAGCTAAACAGTATAGTAGGCCTTAAAAGACCGAATAGTCAATTGATGGCCATCAACAGTAAACAGTAGTTCCAAAAATTGGAATTGACAGAGATCTCTGTAACAGTAACAGTAACAGTAGCAGTAGCAGTAGTAGTAACAGTAACAGTAGCAGTAGCAGTAACAGTCAGTTGCTATGGATGCCACGAGTACAGTTCATAAAATAGGACAAACATTCATTCAATAAACAATATCATTTCAGAAAACAGTATAGTCAATCGTTCAGAAAATAATTATAATTGAATGTAGCTTTCCAACATTGTTACTCACAATGGGCTTCCCGATACACATACTATTGGTTCGGCGTCCGACCTAGACAAATAAATTCAAGCACAACGATACAATAACTTTCAATCATTGGCCAATACCATTGACTCGATTGTTTACTTATTCAATTACCATTCGTTTTTATTTGTTCGGTTCTAATATTTCATTTATTCAGTCTAATGCACTTGTGAGATGCGAATGATTATGAAAACACTTTAAAACCATGCAATCGGAGGCTGGAGAGGTGAAAAAGATAAGCAAAAAACAAGCCGGGTCTTACCAAAAAGGGCCGTACGTGCGGGGCTCCAAGCCGCACGTGCGGGGTTGTTGCAGAAACTGTCCAAAAAACTGCTCTATTTGAGTAGTGTGTTTCCTTGCCAAAACAAGTTTATTTTCATGCAATTCATTCCCAATAACTCATATAAACATGCTAAACTTGGGCCTTGATCATAACACACAACTCAGCACTTTATTTTACATTGTCAAATGTTCATCACAACTTAGAAGGAAACTCAAATTTCCATGTAAGAGTTTAAGGTTTGAATTATCATGCTACTTTATACAATTATCCATCTTGAGCTTCAATCTTCAAATCCCATAAAAATAATTCCCCTCAATTTTGAAAACTCATACAAGAAAATACATAGATGATTATGAAATTCAAGAATTATGCCATGCATGGTAAGGTTTACAAATTAATGCATCTAATTTCTTATTTCTATGCTCATAGGTTCTCACCTCTAATTTTACTTCAAGACTTGTCATATATAATCATAAACCTTGCCATATTAAGCTTCAATTTTCTCAATTCCCATGGAGTTTTCTCTTCATTTTGAAAGTTTAAGCAAGTACATGAATGTGTGATCAAGAATATTTAAAAATCTTGCCATGCATGTATCAATTTCCATCTATATCAATAAATCTTAAATAAGCTTATGAGTTCTTTAAGTATTCTTGAATTTCCTAAGTTATGAGTACATCACTTCAATTCCATAAGATTAAAGAGAGTAGTTCTTACCTAGAGTTAAAGAATTGAGTTGAATTCCTATTTTTCCTTCAAGTTTCTTCTCTCTTGGTATTCTTTTCTTCTTCCTCTTAGTATTCTAAGAGAGCTCACAATCACTCTCTTGAATGTCCCTTTGTCTCCACGTATGTGTGTTGGATATGACTCAACAAAACCCACTGTTTTCCTTATATCGAGTGATGGGTTAATAAATGAGTAGAATAACTAACATAATAATAATTAAATTTTCTAGCTTAAATTGTAGTTAACTAACTCAAATAAATTAAATTAACCTCTAATATTTATGACTTAAATCAAGTTAGTTTCAATTTGCCTAATGTAAATCAGGCTCTAATTTCATATCCAATTATTTAATTCTAACTTGTTAAAATTAGCGAATCAGACATGTTTAATTTTCATTCTAACCTATCTGTTCAAACAATACAAGTCAATAAATCTCAAAACAATCAATAACACTTAATCACATAATTAACATGCATGAATATAATTAATAGTTCCAATTAAGGCTCAATTCAATCACAGACAATTTCAGTAAACTGAATCAATTTTCAATTAAATTTCCCAAATGGCTCTAAAAATTCTCGTAAGCGCATCCATGTACTCAATTTCAATTTGTGCACCCAATAAAATTGTCGATTTCAGTTCAAAGTTGTAACCTTAACAGGTAATTTTCCAATTTGGATAAATATGCACAAATTTAATTACTTGGCACTTAGTTCAATTAGAATGAACACATAATTAATTAATTAAAATCACGATTAGCAAGTCTGGGTCATCACACCTGGGTAACAGATAGATATCCATGGGACAAGCATAGTTGAAGTCGGAGTAATCCACACAGAGTCTCCATTTGCCATTGTTCTTAAGAACCAAAACCACATTGGATAACCACTTCGGGTAGTCCACATTTTTAATAAACTTGGCCTTTAACAATTTATCCACTTCGTCAGCGATGAGATTGTTGCGCTTTGGATGAAAAATGCGCTATTTTTGGTGGATCGATCAGAATTGGGACTCGATGCTGAGGCGATGGGTGATAGTAGAGGGGTCGATGTCTGGCATGTCTGTATGGGTCCAAACGAAGACATTCTGGTGTTTAGTGAGGAGAGCTATAAGGTTAACTTTGGCATGAAGGCTTAGCTAGCTACCAATTTTAGCGGTCTTTATTGGGTCTGAAAAGGAAATGGGTACTTCCACTAACTCCTCCACTGGTTCCCCCTGAATCAGCTCCTCTTTATCTCTAGCGTCAAGGCCCTCAATGATCATAGCCTCCCTCATCTTGACCTCTTTTAATGAGGCTACATAACATTCTCTAGCTACCATCTGCTCGCCTCTCACAGTGCCAACCCCTTGGTCAGTTGGAAACTTTATGGCCAAATGATATGTAGACATCACAGCTTGGAGGGCGTTGAGAGCTGTGCGTCCAAGTATAATATTGTAAATAGAAGGACAGTCAACGATGAGGAAGGTGAAGAGTTTGGTGGACTGTTGTGGATACTCTCCAATGGTGATTGGAAGTTCAATGGAGACTATGGAGGTCACCCGATCTCTAGTGAAGCTAACCAAAGGGGTTTGTAAGGGGGATAATTTTTCTTCCCCAACCTTGAGCTGTCTAAAGACATTAAGGAAGATAATATCTAATGAACTGCCATTATTGGCAAGCACAAGCTTGACTTTGCAGTTTGATAGGAGAGCAAAAAAGACCAGAGGGTCGTCATGAGGGAATCGGATTCCTATGCAATCCGCATCGGTGAAGGTGATTGGCTCCGACCACTGTTTGGGTTGCTTATGAGGTCGGTCGACCACTGCCACTTCTTTATCCAAACCTTATTTAATCTTTCGGAGCTTGGCCCACTGTGCCGACCAAGATTGTTCGCCACCCGCAATGACGCTGATTTTTCCCATTGGGGGTGCGGCCGGACCCTTCTTGGGCTCAGGGTTGTTGTTAGGCTCTGTCATTATCCCACCTAGGCTCTTCGGTTTGCCTAGGGGGAGTGTGTCTATCCTTCTACCTTGAGGGGTTAACCCTGGCTCTTTAGGGGGGACAGGGTTATGGTGAATCGATTTAGGCGCCTCACCAAATTAGTTCCTCAACCTGGTCCTTAAGATTGACACACTCTTCAGTGTTATGGTTGTAGGCACGATGGAAACAACAGTATTTGGATCACTCCCATCAGACGAAAGGGGATCTTGATAGTTCAGGCCATTTTAGGTTATAGTCACGTTGAATTTGGTTTAAGACTTGCTCCATGGATGAGTTGAGAGGGGTGAATCGTTCAAAACAACCAGAAGAACGGGTAGAAGCAGGTTAGTCAGAGCGTGGAGGTCAGTCAGTACATTAAGAAGGTCGATGAGTGTATTGTGAATGTCTGGGCTCGGGTTCTTTTCTCTTTTCTTTAGACTATGGGGGCTTAGATGTAGAATCTTGGTGAGCTACCAAAGAGTCTTCGACATTCATGTATTTTTGGGCTTTAGCGAGGAGGGTGACCATGATGGTCAGAGGATTTTTAAAAAGGAAAAAGCGAAAATCAGATGGGTGCAAAACGGCCATGAAGACCGTTAAATTGACCTTGTCATCGTTCTCTTCAACCTGCAAGGCCTCTGTATTAAAGCGGGTGACAAAGCTGCGCAGCGACCCCCCTTCCGTTTGTCGAATGTTTAGCAGTCAAGTCGCGATGTGTCGTTGATGCTGAGCGCCAGTAAAATAGCTTAAGAAAGATTCATTGAGCTAGTTAAAACAAGTGACAGAATCTGGCTAAAGTTGGCTAAACCAGAGTCGGTTCAACCACTTTAGTGTAACGGGGAAAGAACGACACATGATCTCGTCAGGAAAGGCGTGGAGGATCATGACCGTCTTATACGCTTCCACGTGGTCAATCGAATCGGTTATACCGTCGAAGGTGTCGATCAACAGCATTTCCAACTTAGGAGATAAAAGTTTATGCCTAATAGAAGCTGTAAATGAGGAGTTGGTGGTGGAAGAAGGTTTGCTCTGCATGTTTTGCATGACCCCCTAGAGCTAGAGCTTCATGGCTCGCAATTTTTCGTCCCAAACGGGAACATTATCTCTTCTGGCATGAAGTGGAGGTTGAACACTACTAGCTTCTCCCTCATGGACAACAGCTCAGTGCTGTGAAGGGTGATCATGGAAGAATGGAGGTTTCTTTTGGTGAAATTGTGTGCCCGAAGGAGGGGTATGAAGACCTTCAAGATTCGACGGTTGAGCTTGTGGGGTGAAGGGCGGGAACGACCCTAGAGACACATGTGGTTGGAAGGGATAATGATTGTGGGCTTGTTCTTGGTTTGGAGGAATTTCTTATGGAGGTAAAGGAAGAAGGACAAGTAAGTCACGCTGGAGCAAAGCGTTAATCAGGGCTTGGTTTTGTTCGACTAGTCGGTTGTTACTATTAATGTGTTCTGCGAAATATGGAGGTAGGTTGTTTGGGTTAGAAGATTTAGCATGAGGGTTACCAGTATTGCATTGTAAAGCCATGGATCTCGTCGCAACCATCCACTCAGACGTAGAAGATGAGTGATGGTTGAACTTCCTCCGATGATAATGAACCCAATTGTTAACTAGAGCAGTTTCTACAGACGACGCCAACAGATAATGTAATACGGTCAGTGATGTATGGGTCAGACTGATCCATGTGCTCCACGGGTATGTTGACTTTCGTCTTCTTAGTGCAAGCTGTAGACACCCCATTTTTTACCACCCGTAAGACTTAGGCACTTGGTCCAGCGCACTCAATGATAAAAACTACATTGCGTAAGTTCTCGGGGAATCCAAAGTCGAGCCTTGAAATAATCCCAAAACCTTTCCACTTGTCTCACTCTTACCTCAGAGGTTCATTTTTTACCACTGTGCCACCTTACACTGGGTTTGAAATAAGGGAATAGGGTAGCACATTAGAGCCTGGTCGTGCCCCATTGGGAGTCGGCCATGTCTATTTAGGCCTGGCCATGCCTCGATGGCGATATACACTGTTCTGGGCAACAGCCCGCCAGCTGTCTTTTTTTGAAGATATTTTTGACTTATTTTGCTCAAATTCTATAAAAACGAGGTTATACCTCTGTTTTAGGGCCTGAAAATTTTCAAAAGAACATATACACACAAGAGAGAGCTCATTTTTCCAATACAAGTTATCTTTGAGCCAACCTATCTCTCTTGACCAATATCTATACACCATACATCACCTTAGATCATAGCCTTAGAACCTTGGTTGAGGCTTGAGCATCACAATTCAAGCTTGAAAGAGTGCTTAAACCAAGTTTGTGTTACAAACAAAAGCTTACGTCTTTGAGAGGTATAAGCTTACCACCTTCTCTTTTACTTCATGTTCTATCTCTTGCTATCTACTTCTTGTGTTTTTATGCTATTTCGAATCCATTTCAAGTGTCTAAGCTTGGGTTTAGATAGCTACCAAAGGATAGAAAGAGTTAACACTTTTTACAGTTACCACTCTTTCTTGCACCTTCACCTATAACTCAAACCCTTGTTTTACACCCTTTTCTTTGCTTTGCAAATTGATTTTCAGAGTTTAAAAGAGGCTAAAAATCATGCTTTGAGGGTTCAAAGGTGGAGGGGTTAGCCACTCCTCCTTGTTCTTGCTTACTAGCCTTATTTTCTTTGCTTGTTTAACTTTTTGGGCCATTTTCATGCACTTTGGGCCACTGTTTTTCACCTATTAGGGGCTGTTTTAGGGTTGTCCTGGGTTTTTTAATTGGTTCAAGCTTTGATTAGTTCATTTGTTGTCTCATAAGCTCTCATATATAGCTTGTTGTATGTTGTTCTTAGTTCTTCTTTAATTGATTTCCTTGTTAAGAAACTCATTTTAATAAGCAACTTACCATTCATTTCTTTCGTTTGAGAGTTGTTTCAACCGGTTGATGGTTATTCAAAACATGAGGAAGAGATCTATGCTTAATGGCTTAATCTCTACGGAGGTTCATCGTCGACGGCATGGTCTCTCTTTCATGTTGAGAATCACTTCCCATTTGACATGCTTCTCATTTAGTGGACATAATCTTTAGTGGACGTAATCATCACCTTGGACAAATAATTAAAGAATGGAAAAGACTAATGAATTTGGCTTAAAATGAACCAACCAACATAAAGAACATGAGTTATATTGCTTGGGTTCGGCTGAACGTTATGTTGAGTCTATTGTGTCAAGAGTCATCACACGTCAATTCATGGTGTTTTGATAACCCTTGAAGTGTCCTGACTTTCCCCTTTGAGCTCACTCCATGATAAAGGGGAGGGATCGGTGTTGATTCATTGCATGAAATCATCAAGCAAGCAACTTGCTCATTGATGGTTTTGGAAACGACTCCATCCTTCTCTTGAGGCTTTCCATGATAGAGAAGTGTAAGAGGGACAAACAGAGCTCAAAAAATTATGTCTGCACTGTTTTCACCACAGAGCACAAAAATAGAGCTTTACATAAAATTAGCGCTTGGCCGGGCCTATTTGGGCTCAGCCGAGCTTCATTGGGGGCCGGCTGGGTCCTAATTTTTGGTGAACAGAGTGTTTTATAGAAAACAAAAGGCAGTAGCTGAAGGTGAAAAGGGGCAAATTCCAAGGAAGGCAGACAGAGTTGCTTCTGAAAACCGTCGCATGCATGCTATCCTTATGCTTTTTAGTTCTATCAAATGTTGTAAATTAATGCTCTCATTGTCATTGTAATTAAATATAATTAGCATTTTCGTAATGATTATGAATGTTTATTGTTAAGTAACTCAGATAGTTAGTTTTATTATGTACCCCTATTGTAATAAATTAAGTAGCTAGCTTATTTCTTATTAGTCTTATTGTAATAGCTTAGCTAATTAGTTGTTTATTCATTCATTTGGATTTGTAATAGTTAGTTTAATTCGGACACTTGGACATTCATTCGGACCCTCTTGCACAAGGGCAAAATATGTAATAAGCGTGTATGTCTTCCACCCCCCATTTCTTTCTCTCTTTTATTTCTCCGCTTATGATGCTAGTGTAGAGTATCATGTTACTTAGTATTCTCATGTTTGCATACACTCATCTCATACGCATTTGGGTTTGACTTATCATCCTAACCAATGTCAATTTCATTTTCATTGTTTGAATACGTGATTTATCACATGTCTTGAAATTAGATCAT